GGGGGGGGCTGGAAAAAAGTCGTTGACCGAAAGTAAAGAGGTCAACAATCTACCACCATTGTTTTACTCACCTTTACGGTATCAAACGGATGACCAACCAGGAGCCCTGCTGCCCCTAATTATATATAAACAGACAGGTTAAGAGGTAATATCTCTTGGTATATCTATACTGATTCCCTTTCTCACGGGATGATATCATGATTTTATTTCTTTAATAGACCACCAACAGGATATTGAATAATAATATTCATATTTTTTTCTTTATTATCGTTAACAATAACATACCACAGAAAGAGAAATTAAAATAATAACTATGTAAAAATATTTATGTAATTGTACCGACCTTACCTCCCACTCCCCCTGCTATGTAGTGGTGTGTCCAGTGTCCCGACATCCTTCTGTATAATCTGCCTTGGTAGATAAAACTACATACAGCAAAAATACATTATTAAAAAGGAAGTTATTCCGGGGGAAGAGTGATGTACCGAGATCCTAGATAAACAATCCATTTGTTATTCTTACTAAAGTTCCCTCAAAAGACCTCTTGGTCGGAAAAAAAACCCACACACAAAATAATGTGCCCCAGTAGCATATTTGTTCGTACATTATTTTTCCCTTGTCAACTGTAATCCTTTGGAAAAATAATCTGTTTTGAATGTAAAACATGCAATTAGTGTACGAATACTGTTATTGTTTTACTCCCAAAGAGCTTATTTTGAAAATGATAACTTCGATCTCCTTCTTTATACTTTTCAGCTTTGGTCAAATATATATAAATATTTACATTTACATGGCATTGTCACTATATAGCCTCTTTGAAAGCTGTGTCGTTGATGGGACTTTAATTACCATGCATCACAAGACACAATTCTTAGCGTATTAATACAACACTGACCGGAACTACAATATCCAATATAAATAAACATGACGGCTGCTGAAATATCGCTGGACATTGTGAGATTTGACAATGTCATTGTAAATTTATGTGCAAAATAAAAAATAAAATAAAAAAACACTTTTATTACAACGAAAACAAGACCAAGGTCTGCAATATCGTACAAAATGCACATCGGTTGAAATCACCAATGCCGGCAATGGAACCAATTTTAACGCTCATGCAATTTATCAGAAATATCGTCTGTTACACTGCACTGGTCAACAGGGGTTCGTTACAAATGTCTGAAATATACATATTCTATAGACCTACTGACACATATGTTACAGACCAACTGATATGAGTCACAACACACATAAACATTTCAGACATTTGTAACGAACCTGTGCTCCATCGCAAGATCACTCACTTCAAACGCTATCAGTTTCACGCGTCTCGCATCTACGGTTCCTCAGTTTAATTCTGACGACAGGTCAAATAACGAGGCTGTTATAGAATCTACCGACTGTTGTCAATCAACAAATAAATTCACGCCTGGATTCTTCACAAAATAAGCAAAGAGAAAAGTTCGAATAAACTTCAAAAAATAACTCCCTCGTGGAGGGCAAGGTCGGATTTACGGTGTTCACTGAATTGTGAAATAAAATTGAAGTGTTTGTTAAAATTTCAAAGTACTACTTTGTTTGCCAATCAGCACGCGACAATACGCTGTTCAAACTATTGAACGAAATTGTGTAAACTGTCGATAAGGCGGGCATTTGTAATTTTAAATATAAATTATAAGTTAAAAAAGAACATAAGAGGCAGAGAAAACGTAAATATAAGTATCTAACTGTTTTTGTATGGTATTTATGATCTGTTTGAATGACACAGCTTTGCAAGCAAACAATTCATAATGCGCGCTAAAAACAGTTCAATGCTTAATTAATAGCTTTAGAGAATTCCTTGCTGAAAATAAAGTACTGACCGTCCCTTACCGTTATATCCTATTTTAGAAATGGTAATAACTTCAATATATCAATCATTTTGCTGTGGCATGACCATTATAAAACATTATGATCATTCATAACAAGTAAAGCATGTCTTACCTGTCTTCAGGGCCCTCTGGTCGTTTTACCAGATATTTATATATTCTGCTGAAAACTTGAAAAATAGTTATCCTTTCTTGGGTTAAATATGGGAAATAACAGATGAGGTGTTCCTACCTTATCGTTGGTACCTGTAAACCATTCAGATAAGATAATGTCACTGGATTGTACAAAATCCCTCCCTCCAGTAAAAGATTAAGTTATATTAAATCGCTAAGATAACTGTTATCGGTCCTTAAACTCTGTCTACATAAACGTAACACAGCAAATTGTAGATTACGCTCCACAGAGGATTTTTTCATTTTATTTGCCATTAATCGTTTGAAAGATGGATTTTTCTTTTTCTCCTTTCACATTTCACATCAATCATAGCTTAGTCATATCGTACATATGATACCATTTGCACCATGTGGCCATTCGCTTCTTTCAAATAAGAAGTATGTATACATAATGGGAAATATATGCAACGAAAGATACGTGTTCTCTAAAGTACATGTGATACCGTCACGGCGGCTCCAGCCAAAAACACAATAAACATGCATTTAATCAAGGCAGACGCGGGAACTGCATAGTTGAAAATCAAATCATGATGGTTTTGTAACGTAAGTTGAAACCTGGTCGGTAGAAAACCTTTGCTACGTAGTTTATTGGACAACATAATGCACCAATTAAAAAGACTGACACTGATAAAATTATCCGCGTAAAAATGTATGGAATAGTGAATCATGTGAGACAAGTCATCTCGATGAACTCGAACGTCACAACTGAGGAAAAGGAAAAAAATAACGATAGGTCGTCAAGTCATCGACTTTGAAAGCGAGATCTTACATTGGACGTGGACAAAATGGTAAAATTCTTGCATGGTTTACATGAATTAATTGTTTAAAAAGAATCTGTCGTAGCAAAAAGTTGTATCTTTACTATGTTATTGTATAGTCATAGTCCTTCTTGCTGTATCTCTTCATGTGTTACGGAACGCTTCACACATACTATTTTTATTATTTTATCCTCAAGTATCAGGTGTGGGAGTCTCAGACGTTAGCCATAACATTGTAGTTTAAAGCTTAATTATCTGCTTTAGTCCAAAGTTGATCATTTGTAACGATATGAAATAAGTTTTCGTTTTGCTGATTTTTACATGTGTTTCGGAACACTTCGACATATATTTTCATTCCTTTAACCTCTAGTACCACAGATGAGTGCTATAGGGACAAAATGGCTATATGGTTCTGTAATGTTTACTTTTATTGACTCTGTACCGAATTTCTGAAGTTTGAAATGTGTGCTCCCTCGATTCGTATATGGTTTGTATTCTATTTTACGGCACCAATTTTCGACACTGCATCGAAGTTGGTCGTAGTCTTGTAACTGTAATTCATCTTAGCACAGTTAACATGAAATACTACTTATGAACTTAATTATCTGTTGAAGCCAACAATTTTAACGTTATCAAAGCGTTTTACAGACATATTTTCTACACTATCACCGAAGAATCCTGTATAGGCGAATGACCATGTTGCGCAGTTATTATTTTACTGCAGATTTAAAAGATGTTCCTTTGTTCGTAGCTCAACCGATTATATGGATGTATTTCGACAGCAGGGTGAAGACAAATAGGGTATGTTGACATCCATAACCTGAATAAGGTAGATGATGAATGTGTGTTGGATCTGATAGTAATTTGTAAATCTGCCANTGTGTTGTCTACAGTACCGTATCAACAGTATAAAAACATGTGATACATTGTATGTCTGGTGTTGTGTTGTCTACAGTACAGTATCAACAGCATAAAAACATGTGATACATTGTATGTCTGATGTTGTGTTGTCTACAGTACAGTATCAACAGTATAAAAACATGTGATACATTGTATGTCTGATGCTGTGTTGTCTACAGTACAGTATCAATAGTATANTTTGAATGACACAGCTTTGCAAGCAAACAATTCATAATGCGCGCTAAAAACAGTTCAATGCTTAATTAATAGCTTTAGAGAATTCCTTGCTGAAAATAAAGTACTGACCGTCCCTTACCGTTATATCCTATTTTAGAAATGGTAATAACTTCAATATATCAATCATTTTGCTGTGGCATGACCATTATAAAACATTATGATCATTCATAACAAGTAAAGCATGTCTTACCTGTCTTCAGGGCCCTCTGGTCGTTTTACCAGATATTTATATATTCTGCTGAAAACTTGAAAAATAGTTATCCTTTCTTGGGTTAAATATGGGAAATAACAGATGAGGTGTTCCTACCTTATCGTTGGTACCTGTAAACCATTCAGATAAGATAATGTCACTGGATTGTACAAAATCCCTCCCTCCAGTAAAAGATTAAGTTATATTAAATCGCTAAGATAACTGTTATCGGTCCTTAAACTCTGTCTACATAAACGTAACACAGCAAATTGTAGATTACGCTCCACAGAGGATTTTTTCATTTTATTTGCCATTAATCGTTTGAAAGATGGATTTTTCTTTTTCTCCTTTCACATTTCACATCAATCATAGCTTAGTCATATCGTACATATGATACCATTTGCACCATGTGGCCATTCGCTTCTTTCAAATAAGAAGTATGTATACATAATGGGAAATATATGCAACGAAAGATACGTGTTCTCTAAAGTACATGTGATACCGTCACGGCGGCTCCAGCCAAAAACACAATAAACATGCATTTAATCAAGGCAGACGCGGGAACTGCATAGTTGAAAATCAAATCATGATGGTTTTGTAACGTAAGTTGAAACCTGGTCGGTAGAAAACCTTTGCTACGTAGTTTATTGGACAACATAATGCACCAATTAAAAAGACTGACACTGATAAAATTATCCGCGTAAAAATGTATGGAATAGTGAATCATGTGAGACAAGTCATCTCGATGAACTCGAACGTCACAACTGAGGAAAAGGAAAAAAATAACGATAGGTCGTCAAGTCATCGACTTTGAAAGCGAGATCTTACATTGGACGTGGACAAAATGGTAAAATTCTTGCATGGTTTACATGAATTAATTGTTTAAAAAGAATCTGTCGTAGCAAAAAGTTGTATCTTTACTATGTTATTGTATAGTCATAGTCCTTCTTGCTGTATCTCTTCATGTGTTACGGAACGCTTCACACATACTATTTTTATTATTTTATCCTCAAGTATCAGGTGTGGGAGTCTCAGACGTTAGCCATAACATTGTAGTTTAAAGCTTAATTATCTGCTTTAGTCCAAAGTTGATCATTTGTAACGATATGAAATAAGTTTTCGTTTTGCTGATTTTTACATGTGTTTCGGAACACTTCGACATATATTTTCATTCCTTTAACCTCTAGTACCACAGATGAGTGCTATAGGGACAAAATGGCTATATGGTTCTGTAATGTTTACTTTTATTGACTCTGTACCGAATTTCTGAAGTTTGAAATGTGTGCTCCCTCGATTCGTATATGGTTTGTATTCTATTTTACGGCACCAATTTTCGACACTGCATCGAAGTTGGTCGTAGTCTTGTAACTGTAATTCATCTTAGCACAGTTAACATGAAATACTACTTATGAACTTAATTATCTGTTGAAGCCAACAATTTTAACGTTATCAAAGCGTTTTACAGACATATTTTTCTACACTATCACCGAAGAATCCTGTATAGGCGAATGACCATGTTGCGCAGTTATTATTTTACTGCAGATTTAAAAGATGTTCCTTTGTTCGTAGCTCAACCGATTATATGGATGTATTTCGACAGCAGGGTGAAGACAAATAGGGTATGTTGACATCCATAACCTGAATAAGGTAGATGATGAATGTGTGTTGGATCTGATAGTAATTTGTAAATCTGCCAGAGAAATATGCTAATTCCTTATATGATAAGTAGGTCAATGATTTCTTTGATTGTGCTCGGTATAGTGCGTTGTGGTTTTGTTTTCACTACCCGAGATCTACATGCGAGGACGTGACATTACTTGGATTGGACTTCGAGGGAGCAGAAAACGCTTACCCTTCCGGAACACCTGGTGCTATTGTTATTGTACTTGTTCAATGGTCTCCATGTAAATATTTCCTTTGTTCGATTTTGCCCTAGTTTTTTTATGAAATATGGTTTTGTTGTCACTGTATTTTCTTGTTGTTTTTCTGTTAACAGACACTTCAGGCCCTTGTTTTGTATCATTTGCAAAGCAGACATGAAGTTTGGAGCGTTTAAAACCCGGTGTGATGGAAAGTGCGCATTTGACTCCCAGCACCGGGGAAACTGGCATCGGACATCCAAACAAGATATGAAGTAAATGAAGAATTAACTTTACTTTAGCGAATNACAGTATCAACAGTATAAAAACATGTCATACATTGTATGTCTGATGCTGTGTTGTCTAANTAAAAAAAAAAGGGAATTCATTTCGACATTACTTTGCTTCGAAACATTTATATAAGTGTTAACTGGCCATTGTTTTATACATTGTATGTCTTATGTTGTATTTGGGGCGTCCTGCTGGGTGTCTTCGGCAGTATGTTTCAGTGAGGTAGCACTATAAAGTCGGCATCAGTTCCGCGCTATCACAAGGAGACAAACACGAACATATCGCAGCCTCCCAAAATACACACACATACACTACATGCATGCATCTTGCACACAGGGGAGGCCGTCCTTAAATGACCTTAGCTGTTAATAGGACGTTAAACCAAATAAAACCAAACCAAACTACAGTACAGTATCAACAGTATAAAAACATGTCATACATTGTATGTCTGATGCTGTGTTGTCTAAAGTACAGTATCAACAGTATAAAAACATGTCATACATTGTAGTTAAAACAGAAGAGTAAATGATCATTGTAGCATTTGTAACGTAAAAACAACAAAGAAATTCAGTAAACAATCAAGAAATCTATTTCCTTGAAATAATAATATTTTAACCATGTAACTGATAAGCAATTCATGGATACATAAACCTTCAAATTTAACCCTCAAACATAAAATTAATACCGCAACAAAAAACGGATCGTCCATATCTATATCACAATAATGCTTGCGCACATTATATTTGTCAAACCAGAGACTGAAAGCAGAATGGTGATGT